GTCTATGTTACTGTTTGTACTTCCCCTCCCTGATTTTATGTGAGCCGCCCTGAGTCCCCTCAGGGAAAAGGGCGGCATACAAATGTTAATAAACAAACAAACAAACAAACACCCTCCAATGGTTCAAAGTAAGGATGCCAGCCAGTCCATTATAGGTTATAAATCTTTATCAAGAAGTAACAAATCATAGCTCTTTCTTTTTTGTGTAATGGAGAGGAGCCTCTGAAACCACATTATAGATTATTTGGACTCCTGCTCATAATACTAGCAAGAGTCAGCTACCCTGAGAGGCAATAAAGACGTAAAACTGCTATTTTCTTCTGATATTGAGAAGCCTGTGCTAAGTGTTGATCAAAGCAGAGCTTCCAGTTCTAGCCTAAAAGTCAATCCCTTATTTTCTTTTGAGTACAGTTCATCTTATTTCCCATCTCTGAAACACCACCAGCTTTTGGAAGTGGAATATTAGTATCAAGAAAAGACTAAAATACCGTATCATAAAACTCTTTCCTATATGGAGCTACAAATTACCGTAATTAAAATTAGGCCCGGTGGAGAGAAATAACTTACTAAATATTAATTGTCGAGCCCTGCTTACCAAAACTGTTCAGATATGAAGGTGCACAGCAATTTTCAGAATGAGAAATGTCCAAAACATTCTGTGCATGAACTTTCCAAGGAAACAGATAATTTTGGGTGGTTTAGTTCCAAAATGAAACATTTGTTCTATCCTAGTACTATATTAGTCCCACTACATATACCAGACCAAACCAGATCAGACAAAGAAATCAGTTTCACAAGTAGAATAGGACATGGGAAAGATCTTGAGAGACTGGACAAAACGGTGCTACCAAAGGCCAGATATAGCATAGTCCACAATTGGATAATGGACAGAGAAAGAAACTCGGAAGAGATCTTTCCTAGTTTCTTGGGCTGTATAAGAGGTGTGTATGGTAGGATTGTACTGTACTTTCAGACTTGCAAGATTCTGTCAATGTAGCTTTTACAATAACATAAAAGTAGTTCATTTGGTTTTCATTCCTCTCTGGTTTATCTTGCAAAACTAACAAGTACAATCCTCCCCACTTTTTGTTTTCATGAAGTTTTTTATTTTTCATTTTATAACATATAATCACATGTATACTATTANATATATATATATATATAGAGAGAGAGAGATGATAGATAGATGATAGATAGATGATAGATAGAGATAGATAGATAGATAGATAGATAGATAATCTCCAAAAGACGCATTAGGGCTCATTTTCGGCAAAATATGTTATAAGGGGATCAGCCCAGCTGGGTGCCCCACCCCCTGGCACATGCACAAGAGGCGGTGAGCATGTGGGGGCTGATGGTGTCTAGCAACAGTTGTAGCCCATTGGTCCCTTGGCCAGCGCACTCTGGGGCTGTGTAGCCCACATACTACAGGTGAGTCCCAAGCGCTGCAACTACCAGGATGGCCCTCAAAGCAGCAGGCGGAAGAAGAGAGCAGGGGATAGGTCACAATCTGGCCCACTGGATGTGCCCCGTGGTCATGAAGACAGATGGTGGGACAGAGTAGGGGGTCGGCCACGGAGGCTCACCCTCTGTGTGCAGCTGAGCTGGAGGGCAACATTGGACGGCAGGGCCCCGAGTGCACAGGGGGCCGCAGCATGGTGCCACCCCGCCCTGCCATCGGCCTCGCCTGGTCCAATTGGTGGTAGTCCTGCACAATCTTATCAACAAGATTGCCAACAGAGATGCCGAGAAGGAAGAGGCAGAGGAGGAGGAGGAGAGGGAGAAGAAGAAGAAAGAATAACAAGGAAAAGGAGAAGGAAAAAAGTGGAGCCAAGAAAGAAGAGAAGAAGGAGAAGTAGAAGTATTAGTAACCAGACTTTCTTATTTGTAAATTAAAAGCCTTAAATTTCACCAAGCTGCTCTGGCTGATGGTTTTTCCTTGTTGGTGGTTTGGGAGGGACAGAGAGCCAAATGAGTTCATGGCTGCCCAAAATGTGCTTGCAGTGGCTGTTGGCCACAGAGTGGGCAGCCCCATGCTTCCCCTTCCACCTGCTCCTGGCACAAGGCAAGGCCGGGGGACTCCACACTGTGGCCCCCGTGTGCTCAGCTCCTGCATGGTTGGCCCTGCTTAAAGTTAGATAACGGTCAATGGTATTCAAGGGAAATTGGTGAGGCCAAATGCACAGGGGACGTGACATGGCGCCATCTCCACCCCCATCCTCTGCCTTGCAGCCACGCCCCCCCCCAAGGCTGATGATCTTAACGCGTTTATTTTGGGGGTAGGTCTTATATTAGGGGTTCACCGACAAAAGGGCGAACGACTAAACCGCGTCGCTGACGTCATCAACAGGGCGACAACAGCGCGGAGACAGAAGCACGCTGTAAAAGTAACCCTAAACCTAAACTTAACCCCTAACCCTAATCCTAAACCTAACCCTAAACCTAACCCTTAACCTAACCCTTAACCTCACCCTTAACCTAACCCTTAACCTCACCCTTAAC